CGCCCAAGCTCCTTGCTGTCTCCTTTTTGCTCACACAGCAAATACTGTTTGAGTTTCCAAAACAGCCCTTGACTCTCTGACAACTGACAGGACACTAGCCAGAGGATGTTGGTAGGCAGAGGCACAATTTTTCCCCTTATTTTCCTCCCCCAAAACTAAGCCCGATCACCTAGTTTCTCAGCGAAGCACAGCTATCGAGCTAGTTATAGACCAAGCTATTAAACACATGCGTGAAGAGGACTCCGATGAACTATATTTAATTTTAATTAAGCATCCAGCCAAATGGAATCGATCGTTGTTTTTCTCCCTGGCACCAGCTGTCCCCTTTTGAGAATGTGGCTTTCAACACATCACTGAAGGACACACCATACCACTCAGTCCTGGTAACACGGCACCCTCTGTCCTTGAAAATAGTTTAGCCTATCCCCAAATTTTAGGAGAATCAGGACTGTCCCTTTCCCACTGGATGAGTGGGGGCAAAGACCAAGATGGAGCTCTTCCTCGTACGGAGTTCCTGGAAAGTCAACGGAAGGAAAGATGGGGTCGTTTCTTCTTGTCCCACCCTTGGGAATCTTTTTGAGATGACCTTGATGGGTGAGAGTGCCTACTTTTCTTGGCTGATTTGGGGGAAAAACAGAGTTGGTGATCCTTGGATGGAAGCCACCAGAACACAAGCCTAGCCTGGGAACTTGTGAAAATTATCCTAGAAGAAGATTATATCGTATTGTCTCCAAGGCACTTTTCTCAAAAGGCAACCGGACTTTGTTTTTGACTTGAAGACTATTTCGTTTCTCATCCAAGAAGCTTCCTCCATGGACAAGAAGCAAAATGTCTTCAAGAAAAATAAAACCAAGGAAGTCCAACAGCCTTTTTGCAAAGAGCACCTTGGAAACAACCTGGATGGCTGTCTTAAAAACCTCCAGTGATAGAGCACCACAACTTCTGGAGGCCAGGTGTTCTCCTGGTTAATCGTTCTCCCTGTGAGGAAGTTCTCCCTTCATTCCAGGTTGCTTCTTTCCTGGATTAGTTTCCACCCGTTGCTTCTTCTCCTGCCCTCAGGTGCCTTGCAGAACAGGTTGACCCCCTCCTCTTGTTCGTAAGAGCCCCTCAAATATCAGAGCGATGCTCCTTTGTCCCTCCTTCTTCATCTGCCCCAATTGTATCAGGAAGGACTCCTTTGTGATAGGTGACTATCAATTCCTAACCAGTTCAATCAATACCTTTCCCATTTGAGACTATAATCCCCCTTGGCTCTGGATCCCAACAGGTAGGTTCTGCGTGCCTCACCTGAGGAACTAAAAGACCTCAACATCTCCTCTGGTCCTTCCTTGAGATTCCTGATTTTTTTTTATTTTTTGAAACTTGGCACGTTCCGGTGAAGACCAACCCCTTCCTTCTGTAGACTTTCCAAAGAGGAGTGTGGGGGGACAATCCCAGCAAGGCAAATCCTAGCCAGCTGTCTGCCACCTCATGTCTCCAGACGATCCAACCTTGGTGGTTGGAGAAGGGCCAACAGAGAGGGGTGTGACTGCCTTCCGGAGGCATCTGAAGGTGGGTTCCTCATCCAAAGCTTAGGTTCTCCAGGACCGCCAGGTCTTTGGGGCTTCTTGAGAAAAAGGCGGTTGGGGAGGAGGAAGAGAATTTTTTTCCAGCAAAAACACACACACAAAACGGGGAGAGGGGGGGGTGCACCGAGGAAGAAAGAGGGGGGGAGGGGGTGGTTTGAGATCCAGCCTTTGTCTCCTGCAAACCTCCCAGCTAGCTCACGGGGGCGGGGGGGGGGGAAGGACCGAGAAAACCTGGCAGATGTGCAGGAAAGAAACCTCCTCCCGTCCTTCCTCAAAGGGGAGGGGGGTGGGAAGAAGGCAGCCCCCCCTCCCCTCCCCTCCTTCGGCCCGTCTTTCCTTCCCTCCCCCTCGCCAGCAGCGCTTCCCAAACCCTCCAAGCATCCGTGGTGGTGTTGGGCGCATTCTCCTGCGCCAGGCGCCGAAGGAACCAGGCAGCCAGTCAGGTCTCGCTTTCCTCCGTGATTGATTCCTCGCCCTCTCTCTTTTTTCCCCCCACCCCCCTCGCCCCCCACCCCACCCCACTTCTAGGGTTTCCCTCCTCTTCAGTCCTCCTCCTCCTCCTCCCCCTGATCTACGAGAGAAGGAAAAGAGCAACAACAAAGAAAAAAGACCAACACAACAAAAAGGACCAAAGGAAAGGGAAGAAGGAGGAAGGAAGGAAGAAAAGAAGAAGAAGAAGAAGAAGAAAAACCCAGCCAGCCAGCCAGCCAGCCAGCCATCTCTCTCTCTCTTTCTCTCTCTCTCTCTCTCTCTCTGCGCGTCCCTCTTATTCCCTGGTTTCTTGGAAATCCGGCTGGCTGTGCCACGCGGTATCCTGGGGGAATCTTTACAACCAAACTGGGATCTATGAGCGGGAAGGTGATCAAGTCGAAAGAAGAGAAAAATGCTTCGACAGGTAAAAGGACCTCCGCTCGCTCCTTCCCATCCTTCTCGCTCTCCCTTTCTCCATCCTTCCCTTTCCCTCGTCTTCAATGGTCCTTCAGTTTACCCCCCCCTCCTTCCAAACCCGCCCCCCCCCTTCTCTTTCCATCTTCCCAGGCTTGGCTGACCTTTGCTGGTGGGGGGGAGGAAGCCGGGTGGGGTGGGGGCAATGAAAGGATGGGGGAGAAGTGGCATGCCAGCCCCATAGCTCGCTCGCCCACCCACCCACTTCCCGCCTCCTCCTCCTCCTCTTCCTTCTCTTTGTGTCTTTTTGTTTTTTGGTTTTGGTTTTATTTGGTCCCTTGGCTCCTCAACCTTGTCCTTCCCTCCCTCCACCTCACTTGCCTTTCCATCCCAGCCCCGGAAGAAGAGGGGAGAAGGGGGGGGGGGAGAAAGGAAAAACTAACCTATTTACACCCCCTGCCCCACCCCCGTGAAGGAAAGACCTCCTATAATACTGCAGTCTTCCCTTTTGTGTGTGTGTGTGTGAGAGAGAGAGAGAGAGAGAGAGAAAGAGAGAGAGAGAGCGCGTGGTGTGCCACTAGCTGTCCCCTTGCTGTGGCTACAGACCTTCCCCATCGCCCGGGAGGGAGGGGCGTGTGAGAAACAGAAGGCAGAGCCCACTTTGGGGGAGGGGAGGTTGTCTTTGCCAGGAGGAACCTGAGTGGGGTCTCTAATGTAGCTCGTATGAGGAGGTTGGGGAGGAGGGGCTGCTTTGTTGAAATAAACCAGGTTGAGTCGAGAGCCAGAAGGAACATTCGGTGCTCCTCCTCGGCCACCCTGGACTGCCGTACTTGCACCTGATCGACACTTGAAGGCATCTGGTAGGGTTAGGAAGTAGCACTTTACCTCCCACCCTCCCCTGGAAGCTTGGGCCCGGGACATCTTGCCCTGCCCTGCCTTCAAAACCCATGGGACCCCTGTAGCTACTCCACGTTCAAGGAGAAACAGTAGAGTCCTTAGGATCGCCCGAAGATGGACGGGGTTGTTTCCTTTCTGTTCGAGCTGCAATGGGTAGGGAAGTGATGTCCTAGCTGGGTGCCATGGAGCTCCTCCCTCTCTCCCTCCCTCCCCCCCCCCCCCAAAAAATTGGAACTTGGTTTCCTACGTTGAGATTGTGTGGGCTTTGGATATTCTGGGTATTGCATTCGGTTGATGGTGGGTGTCTGCAGAAAGCGGAGGCATAAACATCTTACTAGGGTTGACCATCGAAGAAGGGAGAGAGGTGTTTTGCCATACAGTGGACCGATTCGCTTCTGAATATATCAGCTGGCCAACAATTGCTATGGAGACGGAAAGAGAGGGGGGAGGAGGAGGAGGAGAAGGAAGAGGAGGGGGACTTATGGATTGGAGGGTTCCCAGGGAACGGCTCCGTTATCCCACTTCTGTCTGGGTTTGTCCAGGGGGAAAAGGTCAAGCGAAAAATCCAGATGTCTGGAAGGTTCCTCCCCCTTTTCCAAGGTGTGTGTGTGTGGTGGTGGTGGTGGGTCAGGCAGCCATCCAAAGAGGGTTTTCTACCTGATCGTCTCACCTCCCCGCCAGGTGGGTGCTGCGAGGTGTTTCTGTCGTGGCCTCTTTGGCAAATCACCGAGAACGTCTCTCCCCTGTTTTGCTGCAAAGCAAGACAAATGTTGGGTTTCAACAGTTCGATCTTCAGCATCCGTCCTAAACCCAGGAATGTTCCTGAGGACTCGGTTACTGGGCACAATCCTGAATGTCTCAGACCATACAGGAAGGGGAGGATGGGTGTTGAGTGAATGGATCCCCGTTTTTCCCAGACAAATCAGCAGGGCCTAAGAGGGGGAAAAAGGCTTTGTGATCTGAAGACCATTGTCTTGAAAATCCAAGGGCTGGGGGGGCGGGAGGTAGACTTCAGTTGGCTTTGTTCCTCTTGTACGAGGTTCTTCCTTCCACGAGGTGACCACCAACTGGTTGGATTCAAACTCTCATCGTGTGCCCAGCTCTGCCCCAAAGGCAGAAGGACTGGAGTCTATGGCCACCAGCCATGGCTGCTTCAGACCTTGGCCCTACTAAACAATACCCACGATGGGTTTTGGTCCTTTTATTGCTGGGGGTGGGGTGGGCTTCCTAGAAGCCATCTTTTTCACGAGTGAACTTTCTGCTTTTGATAGACAAAGGCAAACAGCCAAGGAGGACCTAAATTCGTTTCTGGAGGGTTATAATCTTTGGCGATGTTTTCTCCCCACACCTTCCCCATCTTGGTCCAAGTCATCTGAACGAATTTGTCACCTGTGTGTGAGAGAGAGAGAGAGGGAGAGGGGGCAGAAAGAGAGGGGGAGAGAGGGAGAGAGAAAAAGAGAGAGGGAGGGAGAGAAAGAGAGATGGAGAGAGGGAGAGAGAAAAAGAGAGGGGGAGGCAGAGGAAGAGAGAGAGGGAGAAGAGGAAAGAGGGAGAAGAGGAGAGAGACGGAGAGAGGGGGAGAGGGAAAAAGAGAGAGAGAGAGAAAGAAGATCCTTCAGATGCCTTCTCCCATGTGCCATTATTATTATTATTATTATTATTATTATTATTATTATTATTATTATTACGTTCCAACAGGGCAATTTTGATTTGCAGAGAGCGGTGCGGCCTCAGCGCACGTCATTCTTGGCTAAGCGATTCGTGCACTAACTTCTTTTGTTCTTGAGATGCGTCCATGTGACAGACATGTGCACTGATAAGCTTGGGGCTTCTGGAGGGGATGTGGAGGCCGGGCAGGGGGGGCAGGAAGTGTTGTGGCTGCTCTGGGAAGCTGTGCTGTGGTCCCTTCGGTGGTTTTTATTTCAGGGTCTCCATTGAGACGGTGGAAGGCAGGTTTCCATCCTCAGAGTCTGCCTGCGTTTTGCCTTTTCGGTTCAATTGTCCTTTTGGGGTGTGGGGGGGAATCTGGCGCATTTTCACACTGGTTGACAGAAGGGGGTTGAAAAAGCTATCTCTGTTAAACGTAGATTAAAAGGAGAAAGAAAAGAAAACCAGACAGACAGCTGACAGTCTCAGAAAAAAACAGGATGATTTGTTGTTTTGGGTGTGGACGTTGATTGGTCTGTCATCAGACGAGTAAAACTACGTCTCTCTCATAATTTGGGAGAGCTGAACGGATAGTTTTGGCCCCCTGCCCTGATTTATTTTGGAAAATCCAGGAAGCGTTTCGATTTTTCTTTTAATATATATATATTCTTTTAATATATATATATATATTATATCTTCTAGCTTTCCAGCATTTGGGTTGTGGGTCCTTGTTGCTCTCTGAGCTTGGTGCTTTTTTTGCAGACGTTTCATTACCCAACTAGGTAACAGCATCAGTGCGAGTAGGAAATGGGGTGTATGTGGGAGGAGGAGGAGGAGGAGGAGGAGAAGCACAGTTGGGTCCTTGCTGCTGTACAAACTTGGATGTTTTCTTCACTGAAGTTAAAGTTAGCAACATTGCCGTTAAGTGAATCTGGCTTCCCCATTGATTTTGTTTCTCAGAAGGTCACAAAAGGGGAAATCACATAACTCCAGGGACACTGCGACGGCCGTAAATAGGAGTCAAGCACCTGAAGTTTGATCATAAGACCACGGGGGAGGCTGAATGCTCATAAGTGTGAAAAGCAGTCACAAGTCCCTTTTTTCAGGGCCATCATAACTTTGAGCAGTCACTAAACGGACTGTTGTAAGTGGAGGACTCCCTGTCTTCGTTCTAGACAAAAATAAATGAAAGGCAGAGCAAGCGACTGAGCGATTATTTCCTATTTGATAGCAGAACTTCCCCCGAAGGTTGCCGTAACAATAATATTTCGGTATTTTGTAGAGGTTGCAGGAGTGGCACCCTGATCCCTGAGTGGCAAGGAATAGATTTACACAAATCGCAGGTTTCTCATAGGACATTTGTTGTTATATCCTTTGGGGGAAATTGCACGGGGTCTCCCTGGTTTAAAACTGGGCTCTGCAAATAATATTACACAAACTTCGTGCCCTCTAAATCTGGGAGGCTCCGCTGCCCCAGTTAGGAAGAGACAGGTGAACGTTTCGGCATGCCTCAAATCAGCTGAAGGAAAGTTTTAAAAATTAAAAACAACAAAAAGCAAATGTTATACGTCAAATCCAGAGACTAAAACATAGGAAGAACGGTTAGAGGATTTGGGTATGGACAGTGCTAGAGAAAAAGAAGGACCAGGAGTGATATGATGACGGTATTCCAGTATTTGAGGGGCTGCCTCAAAGAAGAGGAAGTCAACTTATTTTCCAAAGCACCTGAAGGTAGAATAAAGAAAGAACGGATGGAAAGTAGTCAAGGAGAGAAAACTGGGATTAAAGAGAAACTTCTTGACAGGGAGGACAATTCAATAGTGGGACGGAAGTTGCCTTCAGAAGTTGTGGCTTGCTCCATCATTTCAAAGAGAGATTGGGCCATCCTTTGACTGACATGGTATAGGATCTCCTGTTTGAGCAGCGCGTGGGCTAGAAGACCTCCAAGGTCCCTCACAGCTCAATTCTGACCAAAAGGAGAAATCCTTGCTCAACCTAGGTGGAAGTATGAAGCCATTGTGAACCTTAGAATAAGAAGCTTAGAATAAAGAATACAGCTTTTTTAAATAAAAAACGAAACAATGGTGTCCAGCTCCATTTAAAAGGCACCCAATCATGCACCAATGGTAACATTCCCTGCCCGAAATACATGGTTGGTCAAGCCAACCACATGTATCTGGTGGTAGTTTTAATCATTGTGCACGAGAGTGTGGGAATAGATCTGCTGCGAATAACCAGAGTGTGTGAGTGTTTCTCTGCCTATTGTTGCAAAGATAGTTACTGACTGACATAAGTACCATGTTTCTCCGAAAATAAGGCCTAACTGGAAAATAAGCCCTAATACATCTTTAGGAGCAAAAATTAATATAAGACCCGGTGTTATATTTTTGGGAAACACGGTACTAGCTAATGTTTCCTGGATTTGACAGAAAACAGGCTAGCCTACACGAGTTGATTTAAACACCA